TTTTTGAATTTTTAAAATTCCCCAAAAAAAATCCCCTTGAACCCCCCCCCCCCCCAAAAAAAAAAAAAAAAATAGTGAAAGCTATATTTAAAGCAACTACGTCCTTTAAAAACACGAAGCGCCATGATGGAAGTGAGAGATGGGAGTGTCAAACTGAGAGACTACGATTGTTTTTCTAAGTTTTCTGCCAGTACAGCCATGGCTTCTACTTGTTCCAGTGAAGCTAATTGGTCTGTGGGAATAACTCAGCTAGTTGGAGGTCCTATGCGGTATTTACACATGTTGGAAATAGCTAGCTTAGAAACTAACACAAACTTTCTCCCTCCTGATTTTGCTGATTTGATTAAATCACTAACTTTGCCTGAATTCTCATGACATGATTTATACCTCTATGTTGTAAATAGCGATTCCCTGTAAATCAGAGCAGATGTAACCAGTGTTTTTTTTTCATACAACTTACTAATCTTACTTATTTATAAAGTATATATTTTTTATTATTTAACCAGGTAAAACCCCAGTGAGATCTAGATCTCATTTTCTAGAGGGATCAAAGAAATAATCTTATCTTGATTTAACGTTAAGCATTGTCCGCTACAATTCCCACCTGGAATATCAGTCCTTACGATTGACGGCTGCCACCCATCGTCGTTTTCTGTCCTCATTAAAAGGTTTACAATGAAATTACAATGACACACTTGGTTTGTATCCTTGTCTGTTTGTACAGCCGACCATGCAGCACCTTATGACCATTACTACGGTAACCATTACATTATGAATGTGCGCAAAGCCTTGTTAGTATTCTGTTAATGTCAAAAACAGAATTTTGTTTAAATAAGAAACACAAGTAAATTTGTTCATGCAGTGTCTTTAAAAGAGGAACAAGAAAAATCTTTCTTGCTGCAGAACATACAAAAGCAGACGGAATAATTATCCCAAAAAGCAATACATGAACAAAAAGGAACAATTAAAATAGCAAAAAGAACAAACCAGAACCAACAGAGCTACTCCAACATGCTGCCACGAGGAACAGTTTTAGAGGTGGG